AAAAGATTTATATTCAAACTATTAATCTATATAAATTGTCTCAAATGATTAAAGAGTTATTAAAACTATATTCAAAATGTAAGTTTGAATCTCAATAATGCCATTTAACTACTGAAAGCAAACAATAATAAAATTTTTTGATGTTCGAGAAAAATGTACTGCAAACAACAATCATGGACCACGCCCCACTGCTTTTGAAATGGGAATATTACAGGTACTTGTAAACAAGACAATATGCAAGTACTAGTAAGATTAGTTTAGACAAAAGCCCAACGCTTATTTATTAAAAAAAGGGAAAACTACTTTCCAAAACTATGTTTATAATCAATAATATAACTTAAACTTGAACTTATGAATTAAGCATTCAACATATATGTGGAGCTTATAAATTTATTTTTTAATTTAGCTCAAAATGCTATCTTTCTATGTGTGCTCTTGTCGGCTTAGTTAACTATCGAAGATCAAGTCATTTCCAAATTGTGCTAAATAACCATTTGATAAGGATCAATCTAAGTAGGAATTCTATTCACAATTAATCTCCAAACAAACGCACAAGCTTTAAGTAGCACCAATGTTGGGAGTTCTACACACGGTAAGTAATGGTGATAGAGTAGTGATACATAGATGAGAAAAGATAAAAAAGCGAATAAATATAATATATATGCAAAGATCCATAAATTTAATTTTTGAATTCAACTTATGTAAATTAACATAAAAATAGAAGTATAATAATTACTTAATATTATTAAAGAAGACAAATAAAGTTAAAACTAATTAAATAAATATTAATTAAAAATCGTGGTCAAAATTTAAAAAATTAAAAAGGATAAATTTATTAATAAAATTAAAAAATTCCAATCCGTTAGCAATTTGATACAAAAGATTGCCTTAAGTGACTTTTTTAATCTCCTAGCGATTTGACTTTTAATTGCTATTTGGTAGTCACAAACAATTAAATAAATTAAAAAGTTTTATCAAACACCTAGTTTATAACAGTTTTGTTTGGCCAGCTTAATGAACCTATACTGTAGAAATCTTCTACTTCAACACCTGAAAATCCCGAAGATGTTTTCTCAGGGAAAACACTCCAGCATTCAAGTCAGCAATACTCGATGTTTTAGAGAGAGAAGCTCTTAAGAGTAATTGCAGAGAGAGAAACGTAATGGAATTAATATCTTGAATGGAGGTAGGTGAGGGTATTTATAGCCCTCCAATGTTGACATGAATCTATATATGTAAACATCCGATTGCTCCACGTATGAGCACCCACGTGGGTGTGTCTGGACTGTGTCTCGGCTGTTGTATGAATGCATCTTCATTTTGGAGCCCAAGCATGAATGACTGGGCCTATTATACACGACTCAAGGCTGAATGTTGGGCCTATTCTCAATAAGTTTGGAAATATAAAAAATTACCAAACACATATTTTTAACAATTTGGTAAAAATTGCTAACATTCACCTTCAAATCGTTATACCAAATGAGTCATATATCAATTTTACAATTTAATTATTATATTATCTATTAAATAAATAAATATAAAAATTAAAAAAAATTGAAAAATGTAAAATTGGTTTGGATCAACTAGGTTTAATTAGGTTTGAGCGGATTTTAACTAAATTTGATTGGGTTTGACTTCTAACAGGCCAATAGCATAACCTGAACAGTTTTTAAAACCAGTTATGGTTTGACCGATTGAACCAACTTAATTAGGTTGGGTTAAGTTTCAAAACATTGATCTCAAGTTTGAATTCTCTTATGGATGGAGAAAGGTTTGAAATAGAAAAAGTAATCCTTTATTGTATAACCGATCATCCTTTGTACAAGAAAAGAAAAAAATTTAAACCAAAAAAAA